GGAATCGGCCCTTCTCCACAATCCTCCTCAGGGTCCGGTCACCTCTTCTCGTTGTGCAGCGTTTTCTGCCACACTTTTCCCTTCCCACAGACTTCCCACTGAGGTGCCTTGATACAGCACTCTGGGAACAGCCTATTCATTCAGCAATTTCTTTCTGTGTCTTACCCTCTTGCTTGAGGGTGTCAATGATGGCCTTCTGGACAGCAGTCAGGTCGGCAGTCTTACCCATGATTGCGGTTTTGAGTAATGAACAAGGCTGGGAGTTTTTAAAAGCCTCAGGAATCTTTTGAAGGTGTTTAGAGTTACGTCGTTGATTCAGATGGTTAAGTTAATAGCTTGTTTAGAGAACCTTTTCATGATATGCTAATTTTTTGGGACAGGCATTTTGGGTTTTCATGAGCTGTATGCCATAATCTTCAGTATTAAAACAATTAAAGACCTGACATATTTCAGTTGGTGTGCAATGAATCTGAAATATATGAAAGTTTCATTTTTATCATTACAATATGGAAAATAATGACGTTTATCACAATATGCTAATTTTTTGAGAAGGACCTGTATATATATATACCCATTAGTATGGGTGAAGCAGCTCAGAGTGGTAAGATGGAGCAAGACCATTTAAACTTATAAAAACAAATAAAATAATCTTAAAATGAACTCTAAAATGAACAGGCAACCAGTGGAGGGAAGCCAGAGTGGGGGTGATGTGCTCCCTCTTTTGAACTCCAGTTAGAAGCCAAGCATCTTTTTTTCATCTCTTTTTTTTTTCTTCACCCTCCTAGTTCCCTAACTGCCATTCCAGGGGTGGGGTCCAGGAGAAGGGCAGGCCGTCGGGTGTTGACCAGGACTATGTGGGGGTTCGGGGTCTGGGGGATTGCCGTGGGCGGTGTTGGTGCTGTGCTCTCCCTGGGGTTGTTTGGACCCCTTGAGCTTGGCTCTTCGGTTCCATGGTTGGACCGCTGGCCGGGGTGGCTGCTGGGGCCTGGCGGGCGGTCGGCTGGGGGCGCGTGCTTGGTTGTTGGCGGTGTGTGGGGGTGGTCGGTGGCGTGACCTCTTCGTGCCGGGGGGGTGTCCTGTCGGCTGGGCGTGGCCTGGGCCAGGTCTGGGATATTGGCTCCTCTCCGCTCGAGAATGAATGGGTCTACCTCCTGGGTTTGGGCATGGGCTGCCCCCTGTAGAAGGCGGGTACATGTCT